AAACCACAAAAAAACAATCAACACAACACAAACAATGCCAGTGTACATTGGTATCTACTGAGCCGGGAGGCGCTCTCTGCCCGGCAGTTCGCAGGGCATTGGCGATACTTCGGGCCGTTTCGTCCAGTCTGGTGGGGCGGTTGGTACACGTTCCTTTTTCGTGGCAAGTGCAGCACTTCCACCACCTCCACCACTGCTACCGCTCTGGCTGCATGGGACACCGCTTGGGGGAGGGCGGTCCTGCATGCCACTGGGGCAGTTGTTCTCTTCTTGTTCCAGACTCGAGCGTGTAAAGTGATGTAGCCTATTCATAAACATACTGTCATCTGTATATATATATAGTATATAATATGTCTGTGTTTAGCATGTTCACACCAGAGCAGAATAGGAGGGCGGCAAAAGAACAACACAAGGACAACAGCAAAAAGAACAACAACCGGACACAGGCTTGCAGCCGCAGTCAGGCGTGGACACAGGAGGACAACACCCAGACAAAGGGTTTGCCGGCCAGCCTCTTTTCTCCTAAGGGACAACCCCAGCAGTATACTCAGTTGTCAGCAAGCTACTTGGGAATCAACACTTTTTTTGATACGAATATGTACGAATGAATTTTTCTGATTAGGTATCCAGGCAGGTGAGCCCCCACCCGACTTGACCTAAGGACTCGACGCTGGTCTCGGTGAGTTGGCTGAAGCACGAAAATTTGAGCCAGTCGCACCTCGTTCGATCGGCTTCCTTTGACCGAATCTCTCTCAATCGACCGGCTGCCGCTCCGACCACTGCGCCTCTCAGCAGGAGAAAGCTGCAAAGGTGGCCGCTGACTGCTGGTACGGAAAACAAATCTTCCAAGGGCGACCGTCACCTGAAAGCTGCAGCGGCTCTGAGCCGAGCCAAAATCTCGGCAGAGGGTGGACAAGTTGGCGGAGGGTGGGGAGTCCCAGCAGTCTTTCACCGTGTTTCCTCAAATGCAGATGTTCGAGATCGATGTTGAGTTCCTGCCTCCCGCCATCCCCAACCAACACCGGCAAAGGATCAAGGCTCCCACGTGGCCCTCAGAAAGTAGACCCCAGCCTGGCCGAAGAAAAGGCGACTGGCGTTGTGGGCACGACCGGATCGTCGAAACTGGGGTGAGCACGGAAAACAGGGGCAGCGACCTGGGCAAGGCCCCAAATAGAAACTCACCCATCTGCCAACTTCGCTCCCGAACTCTGCATCCAAATGCTGAGACCAGGGCATCCAAATCCAGGTCCAACACAAGGGCCTCACATTCTCAGCTTCAATGCGTGAGTCTCATCTGCTCGTCAGTACAAGCGCAAACGGCTTTTGATATGCTCTGACCATTCGTTTTGGGGCGCAAAGGCTCAAAAGCGGGAGGTCCATGATTTGATATAAGTTGATTCCTTGTTTCGTGGGGAGAGGCAGGTGTCCATCCACTGTCTCTTGGGGATGATCTACATTTTCAGAGCGTTGGCAAGCCCAAAAGCCTCCATTGGATCATGTTGGGTGAGACTGAGTTGCTGAAGCTACCTTTTGTACAGTGTCTTCTCAATCTCCTGTATCCAAGCCCTCTTTTGGCTTTCATCATCACATACCATGTAGTAGTTCCTTTCTCGCACAACCACACAGAAGCATCGCGCTTGCTGCACCTCACCATCGGCACTGTAGACCCGCAAGACTGTCCCAGCAGGTACAACCTCTGTAGGCTCTCGAAGGCCACGATTCTTGAAGGACATAAGCTCTCCAGGGCACAGCACCACCCATCTCCGTCGCCAACGCTTCAAAATGCGGCTTCTCTTCCATACCCAGCCCTCCAAAATACTATTGGGATGGGTGTACCTCAAGGGTCTCCCTCCACTCTGATCTAAAGCATCAGCGCGAACACTGTTGGGGTCGCTGACCTCTTCATCTTTGAATGGAACTTGCTTTGGCTCAGCCTCTTCATGGAAGACATTTGCCACATCTTCCTCCGAGTCCACCCGCTCCACCTCACCTTCAGGGAGTGGTTCTTCGGCTGCGGGCATGGGCACGGGACTCGGAAGTGGCACGTCAACACGCGCCTCTGCAACATAGCCACGGTCGGCGTGGCCACTGGAAGGAATCGTTTCCGCCACCGGCGGAACTTCATCATCTTCACCCTGACGGTGTCGTAGCTCCCTGACCATGGCACGTCGAAGCAAACTCTCGGAGTGACCCTCCGCGGGCTTCCATTGACGGAAGGTGCCGAGCTCCTTCAAGACTGCCTCAATTGTAGCACACTTGCTCAGCAAATGCTGCCAGCGAGGGTCTGTGTGGTAAACCTCAAGCTGAACTGTGTCCACTACAAGCCGCAATCGGCCAATGCGTTCACAGCCCCCTGCTGCGAAAACCCGGCTTAAGGCTTGCTTGTCCCCACTCACTGCTTGATCTAGACCATCACGAACACATTCGACTTTCTTCATTAGGTCGGCTTCTTTCGCCTTTTTCTGGACGGAACCAGATACGGTTTCATCCACTCGGTCTGCAGCATCTTCGATGCCTTGCATCGCAGAGTCAAAGTCCGCCTCTTCTAAAGCAGCTTTTGGCTTGTGCTTCTTGAGGTAAACGCCACAGGTCTGCTCCAAATACTTCCAGAGTGGGTCAAAGTCCGCATCTCTGAAACCTTCAAGGGCGAGCACCTCCGTTGCCCCATTGTCTTCACAAAGGAGTCGGAGGCTGCCCTCGAACCACTCGGCCCGTCGAATGTGGGCGGCAGGTTGCACCTTCGTGGCTCCGGAAGCCCCTTGCCAGCCAACGCTCTCGGCATTGGCACGGAATTGACCTTTCTCCCCACCACAGACGACATCACTGAATCGAATCATGGCCTTTTCGAACGGCCGAGGGTTCGGGTGGTGCTCTGGCAACTAGCACCCCTTCAGCCTGAAGCCAAATGCTTGCAAAATTATGGACAACTTGGTCAGGCTAACAAGCTATAAAGAAATGGCCTGGTGATCTGCCAGCATACACAAAGCTTGACCATGTTTAAAATCAAGCACTCCACGTGGGAAGCTGAAAAGAGATCAAGAAAAAGCACCCGTGTTTGACGTTTGAAGCACCATCTTCTGCAGTACTCATCGCATCCCTCGCCGAGCCTCTGGGCCCTCAGCCTGCACAACACCAAGCGTTTGACAAGAATGGGTGGTGTTGACCGGTCGTGCAAGGCCTGTGGAGTGGCAGCTGTTGATTTGGAATCTGGGCGCAGTTTGCAGCTTTGAGAGACGGGTCACTGGGCTCCAAAGAAAGTATTCGTGAAACACTGAGAGTCCACGGGTATTGATTCGTCTTTTTTTGGATTGACCCCAACTTCAAGCTTGAGACTGTGAAATTGCATCGCCTGCTGTTTGGAGGTCTGGCACCACAGCTGGATCTGCACCTGCTGGTCATTTCAAGAAACACTGATACTGATATTGGGAGGACAAACTGATGAAACCAGCTGTGGCATCGCGGTAGCTCTTCCAAGGAACATCAATGTCAATAGCAAATAGAGTACACTAGAGCAAGTGGTGACGCAATGGCAATCCACGTCCAAAGCGAGTTCTTCATAAATGGGATGCTCTCCTTTCGACCAGGCTGAGGATCGGACGAGTCAGTGTCACAGCGCGGGCCTGCAGTGACGAGAGTGAAACGCAGTGACAAGTCGAAAGAAGGCCGCCATGAGGCCAATCTGAAGGCCCTTGAGGCGCTGGCGACTGACAGGACAGTGCTCAGAGCATTGTACGTACCTCCACTCAGGTCGGATTCGCCCAAAGACCCCATACGGTTCATACCGTCCATCCGTTCATCGCAGCGGAGCACTAGCAGGGGCGAGCATAAAACGAAATGGCTCCTCGCGGTGGAAAACCAGCAACACTGCTTACTGTAGATCACCAGTTTGTGAAAGTAACAAGTGCATTACTACTAGCAGCAAGGACTCTACTAGTAGCAAGGTGCATCGCTACTAGTAGCAAGGACTCTACTAGTAGCTAAGTGCCTTACTATTGGTAGCTTCTAGTGTGGCAGCACGCTCGTCCTGTTTCCATCGAACCCGCAGGTGCCAAGGCACGGCGCTCTTTTCCCCGCTCGCCTCGGAGCTGGCGACCCCGCGCTCGCTCCAAGTGGAGGTTTGGTCTCCCAGGTGGCGACCCCACTGCCACCAAAACGTGAACAGTCCACCACCAGGCTCACAGCTGCCGCCTCACAGCTTGCCGCAAGTCATGATGGCAGAAAAATGCCCGTGACAAACTAACCAAGCGATTAGTTATATAAGTTGTCTTTATATACTATATACCACATTTTGCCACGCTGGTCCATCTGACTTCTGAAGCGTCTTGAGCAGTGCCACCCTTTGGAATATTGTTGAATATCTACTGGTCCAAAGGCCGGCCAGGCACCTTTCGGGCAGGTGCCGGTGCAGCTTGCTCGTCCTGACAGACTTGGACGGTGGTAGACTTGCAGAACTTGGATGTGACAGGAGCTCGCCCAATCCATTTATATATATATATATACCACTTTCAGGCCCCCCCTCAACGTCGAAAAACCCGCAGCGCTCCTCGAGGTCACTTTGGACGTCGAAGAACCTCGGCGGCCGCAAACCGTTTTCCACCGCATGTGCCGGCGAAGCGCAGCCTTCGGTCCTTTCGGCGGTGGCTTCGGCGGATTCCGGGGCAGCGGCTCGTCCTCCGAGGCCTGCCTCTGGATCCTCGCGTCCGGTCCAAGGGGAGATGAAGAAAGGATCCCTGCTGGAACCCCCCTGGAAAAGAAAGCCATCAAACCAGTTTAAGTTTTGATTGAACCATGGCAGGCCGGTGCACCAGAATGTGCGATCAAAGTGCACTAAGAGTACGACACACTGGTAACACAACTCTTTGCCACAACATGCCACGATGCCCAAGAAGTCTGAGTTGCACGCGGCAAGGTCGGCAGCGATTCAAAATCGGAGGCCTCGAATGGCTTTCACGCCAACAAAACGTTCCAAAAACATCAACACCGTCCGAACCATCTTCAGTCTGAGGCTATCTAAGGCTTGTGTCCGAGGGTCTGCGCAAAGCCAATTTTGACAGGTCCCAGATACTGGGATACTGTACTCTGACTTGAAAGTGAATCGTAAATCAACACGTCCCCTCACACGGTGAACAGATCTGGCTCCTCAGACTCAGACCCCTCATGCAAAGGCACAAGGCACTTGTCTGACTTCAACTTCTGAAAAGCTTTGGTGCCAACCTTCTTCAGTGTCTCTACCAATGGCTTCTTCACCTTCTCATTGTTGAGGGTATGCAAAGTTGCACGCAAAATGGCATCTTCAACCTGGAGGGAGTAGCTCTTCTCAGGTCCAGGGCTGTAGAAATGGTCTGCCGCCACAAAGGGGCCAAAGGTTCGGTCCTGTTCGATGGCCACATCACAGGCCTCCACACGGTCAATACCACGATCAGGGTTGAAGAGGTCTTTGTTCAGCTCCTTCAACGTCTCCTGCATCTTGAGGAGAATAGAGGTATACTTGGGGTCGCTGGCCAGGTTGGTGTGCTCTGTGGGGTCATCACGCACATTCACTAGGCAACCCTCGCCACAGTCGATGGTCCAAGTCTGCCGGTCAACCTCTGCTGAAGTATTGGCCAAGGGCATGGGTTCACCAAAAATCTTCACATCATCTGGAGCGGGCAAAGGCCCATTGTGCTCATCAATCGACTTCACAGTGGAGCAGTTGGGATAATTGGGCCCCACCCAGGCGCTCAGGGGCTGCTTGCCTGTGACCAACTTGTAAGGCCACATCAGCACAGCTTTCGAGCTCAGGTGCATGGGATCGGCACGGCCGTTCTTGTCGTTGATGATGTTCTCCCACTGGGGAACACTGTCCACTGGATGAAGTAGTGGCAGGCCCTTCTCCTTCAGCCAACCGTTCGCGGCCTCAGACTTATGGTCTTTCATCTCAACTCCAGCCAGCTCTGTCAGCGTCCCATACCAGTCGGCCACATTAATAATGCCCTCGAACTTCTTTCCACGCCTGGCTTCAGGCACAAATCCGCCGGAGATCCAGGCATTGGTGCGAACACCACCTTCCCAATCATTGTACTTGCTGCCTCGCAAGGGGTGGTTGGAAGCTGCCCCCGGCTCATAGATTGGGCCACCATTGTCAGAGGTGAAAATGATCAAGGTATCATCATACATGCCCTTCTTCTTCAGAGCATCCACTGCTTCTCCAATGGCCGAATCCATGTAGAGAGTCATGGCAGCATAGAGGCGTCGGTTATCATCATCGAATGGCTTGCCACCTGCTGCCTTGACGAGGGCATCAATTTTGTGAAGCCAAGCCTTTGGCACCTGCAAAGGTGTGTGAATCAAGTGGAAGGAATAGAAAAGGAACAAGGGACTCTTCACATCATGCTCCTGAATGATCTGCAGAACCCTTTCTTTAAAGAGATGCTCTTCATAGCATCCAGGGTCTGACTCTTCATCTTCTTGACAACCAGCAGACAATGAGACGGCATCCCTGACCGGGCCGGAATAAGTGGCATTGTGCATGGACAAGTCTTTCATGCGGTTCAAACAAGCGTCCACCTCGCCAGTTGCGAAGAAGACGGTGCTCTTACGCCAGTAGTCATTGGCATGCTGGTAGTAGCCGTACCAAGTGTCATAGCCACGTCCTTTCGGCGAGTGCTCAGGGGTTGCCATACCGGCATCCCACTTGCCCACCAGGTGCGTCTTGTATCCGGCATCGCGCAACTTCTCGGCAATGCCCGTCATGTTCCTGGGGATGCCAGCATAGCCACTCACAGGGTCCTCGTAGTTCTGGGAGGTCACAGCTGAATTAATCGGATTCACATGCACCGCCAAGCGCCCGGACTGAATTGAAGACCGGGTCGGGGAACAAATCTTGTAGGTGTAGTGCCGATCCAAAAGAACACCATTGTCAATAAGTGCGTCGATATTTGGGGTGTGGACTTCTGCCCGACCCTGCTGTTCTTCAGGTGAGGCTCCTGCATCGCGCCGATGTACACCCATGTTGCCCCAGCCATAGTCATCAGCTAGAATGAAAAGCACATGGGGCTTTGCTGCCAGAGCAGGAAAGCCCAAGGTGGAGATAAGTGCCAAAGCGAGCGACGCCATGGCAGGGGCAACAAAACAAAAGTGGCGCGTGCCTGACCTGTGAGGAACCTGGAGCTGCAGAATCCAACAATACACCTATATATATATATATCTCTCTCTCTCTCTCGCTGTGTGAGACTGAAGAAGGCCAAAGCATGTTTGCTGCTGGGGTCGGGGCCATGCAGGAGTCATGCCTGAGAAGCATCAGCGGCTCCTGCGTTACAAGCAGCCACACACCATGTAAGGATGCACCACTCTGAACCCACTGACTTTCAATCCACCAAGAACAAGGAAAAATATGAAAATGAATCCGAACATGCATACATACATACATACATACATTCATTACATCACATTACACCACATTACATCACATTACATCACATTACATCACATTACATCACATCACATTACATCACATTACATCACATTACATCACATTACATCACATTACATTACATCACTTTACATCACATTACATCACATCACATCACATTACATACGTACATAGTTACATAGTTACTTACATACATACATACATACTCACATCCATTCATCCACCCATCCCTACCTACCTACCATCCATCCATCCAGACAGACAGACCTACCCACCTACCTTACATACATATATTGCATTACATGAAATTGGTGGTCTGAAGCCGACTTTTCGTGGCAGGTGCAGGAGGTCGGAACCGTTTTACTTCGATGCGCAGAATTCGTGGCAGGCGCAGCACTTTGGACTTGGTGGTGGTTTTTACATTGCTTTGATTTCGTGGCAAATGCAATAAATAAACCATGAACTTTGGACATGTGGCTCGTTTTCAGAATTTGGGGGGTATCGCGCAAAAGCTGCGTTTTGGCATCTTGATCGATGTTGTCTTTGGAAAAGTTGTTTGTTGCGAAAGGCACTGGCAGGGCTGCGCCATGTGAATCTTGATGTGCAGATTTCATGGCAAGCACAGGGCTCTGTGAACCTTAGCGCAGGTTTGAGGACAGGCACAGCACTTTGTGAACCTTGAAGCACAGATTCATGGCAAACGAAGCACTTTATAGACCTCGAAGTGCTGATTTTCGTGGCAGGCACGGCACTGTGCGAACCTCGAAGTGCATGCACAGCACTTTGTGAGCCCATGTGTGCGCTCTCATGTGTGCTCTCAGATATGGCACGCCGTCGTGCGCGCGCTCTCACAATTGTGCTCTCACATGCGCTTTCTCACGCGTGCGCTCTATGATGTGCACTCTCACATTTGAGCGGGGAAACACGAAAGGTAGAGACGGACCGGGTAGCTGTCGTGAAGGCCGTTACGGAACGGCGAGGAAGGATTGATGCTTTTCAAAACAAACAACCTGGGCACCAGAGCGCTTTTTTATCTATTCCTAAACCATCATTTTGCATGTCATGAGGCTACCAGGAACGTTTGCAAAAGCAAAATCCCGAATCCTAGGCCCGTGGGGAAGTGGGTGATTCGGGCGGTGCGCGGCGATGCGGTCAGATTGCGCACACGGCTCTGCAGAGAGGCTGCGTTGCGTCGACGCTCGTTTGTGTAAAGGAAACGGGTGTGTGAAAACAGGCGTGCGTAAAAGTACGGTCCCACAGCTGCACGCACTGTGTCAGGATTACAGGCCTGCACGCGTTGCGTCGAAGTCACAGTGACCAACCCCCTTTTAAGGATAGTGCTGGAGGGGTGCGGCTGGTACTGCCAGGGTGGACGTCACGCTTTGGTGGGTGGCTGATGTGTGCACGCGCATATCTACACGTACTTTGAACCCAGGTTTCAGGTCGCGCAGGTTTGATAATGAGGTGGGGTTCATTGTTTGTGCCTGTGCACTTGGCTCCCTTGGTTCCTCTTTTCATCGCAGCCACGTACACTTTTGTGGTGTCTTGTCCTCCTTTCCTGTCTTCATCCTTTTGTCCGTGCTGCGCGCACACGTGCACATTTGCCTTCACCTTAGTTCTTCGCCTCCCCTCCGGGAGGCGTGTGTGTGTGTGTACCCCTTGGAGTCACTGTCACAGGGATCCTGTTGGAGTGGTATTTTACAGCAGGGGGCGCAAGCAGCCTATCCAGTCTCGCACCAACGAAAACACTGGATATGTGCTGGTGATATTGATCCGGGACGCCGGATCAACGTACCTGCTTTGAGAGAAACCTACGTAATCGACAAGCTGCTCCACTTCTGTGTTTTGCAGTAATCTTCTAGTGCTGTGTCGTCAAGTGCTGAACTCACCGTCGGTTTTGAGTGTTTGAGCCTTGGAGACCGTAACTTCAGACCTTTCAGCTTTGGAAGTTTGAGGGGCTTTACTTTTACTCACCCTGGTTTCTTAGGTTTTTCACTTAGGCTGGCGCGTGGCAACTGCTTTCAAATCAGTACGCAAAATCTCAAGTGTGTGTGCTCGCATATGTGCACTCTCACCTGGGTGCTCTCACATGTGTTCTTATGTGTGCTCTCATCGGTGCAATGCTCATATGTGTGCTTGCCCACATACGTCTGCTCTCAGATATGCGTGCTCTCAAATGTGTGCGCTCTATGTGCGTTCTCACACGTGTGCTCTTGTATGTGTGCTCTCACAAGTGTGCTCTTGTATGTGTGCTCTCATCGGTATGCCCACATATGTGTACTCTCATGTGTGTGCGTGCGTGTGAATTCATACGTGCTCTCATGACTCCTATACATGCTCCATGTGCTTGCTCTGTGCTCTCTCGTGTGTGCTCTCACATGTCATGTGTGCTTTCATGTGTATGCTCTCATGGGTGTGCTCTAGACTTATTCAGCCTTGTCTTCTTCTACTCATCTACTCAACACTGTTTGGGGTCTCTGGCTGATTGTATGAATGGAACTGATGTTTCCTCTTCTCTTTTCGCACCAGGGCGTCCTCCCCCAAGAGCACAGCGATGGAAGACAAGTTAGCGCAAACCTGGGCAACTCACAGGACTGCGCAGAAACTGGACGAAAGGAACACCTTGGTCCGGGGGGCCTGGAAAGCACATCCCACACATGTAAGCAAAAACTCTGAGGTCGCCACATTGGCATCCCATGCCTGGAGCGCTGGTGGGCGACACGGGAGCTTGTGCGAACTGTTTGGAAACAAGACCAGCAGTTGAATGTGTCCCAACGGTTCTCGTGAGACTCCGGCTGCTTTGAGGAAGTCAGCCATGACTCCTCCATGCGGCGATATCTTTGACTCTGCACACTGTGTTACCATGTGTTACCTATGGGGGATGTTAACTGTGAAGAGCCCAAAGAAAAAGGGATCTTGTGCTTCCTCAATTCCTCTTACTTTTGCACACATCCCGTGCTTCAAGAGATTCCATGGAGCGTACGCTACTTCATTCTAATGTGTCCGTAACTTGGATGCTTTATTAACTACAGCGAACTTGCCTTCACCAATGTGTTAAAACCTCTGGATAGCAGAAGGGTGAACCCAAGAGTAGCCCACCTTCTCTTGCGGTGGACCATGCAAGCTTGCAATCCACTCCTAAGCTCAAAATGCAGAAGCAGGTCACTCTCATCACACTTTCCAGCAAATGTGGGAGAGCCCATAAAGCCTCGGTTGAGCCCGTGACCACCTTCTATACTCAAAGCTTTCGGTCTTTGCTCGCTGGAGCCTCTGAGAGCAAATAATGACGACCCATGGGTGAGGAAATAGAAAGAAGCCAAGGACCCAACAGGAAAGGATCTTGCAGTGCGGGATGAGGACTCGTACCTTTGACAAACAACGAGAGGTGGGAGGCGCTGGGCTGCTCGCGCCATGAAGTCCTGGCCCCCGCTACGTCCAACTTCTTTAAGGTGTTCTTTCGTGCTCCCCGTCTTGTGTTGCAAAGGGCCCTCGTTTTACGCATGTAAATCTTCGGTTGTGCTGTTACCATCGCGACTTACTTCCCTGGCCTCCAGCCTGCGAGGCTCCTCCACCTGGCTGGAAACATGGGAAGTCACTATGCTCAGATGCGCTGGTGAGGCGGCGTCCGAATGTGTAATATGTGCGGCTGGTCCAGCTGGGTGCCTCCTCAAAGAAGCGTTGCTTGCCGGCTTCTTCGACCTTGGACTCGCAAATCCAAGTGTCTACGACGCTGAGGCTAAGGAAGCTGAAGGGAAGAACCATACAAATGTTCATGGATGCAGCATCCCTAGACCCTGGCAATATCGTCGATCATTTCATCCTCATCACCTCCGTATTAGGCTGGAGTCGAGGGAGAGGTTGTCAAAAGTGCGGTGGGGCGGCTAATATTCGCTCAATTACTTCACTTCCGCTACCTTCTTTATTCTCCCTCATGTTTGCAGCCCGTCCTCACCTTGAGCAGTGCCTGATGCAGCCTCAGCAAGCTCATTCATGGGCAAACCGATTTGACCAGCACCAACCGGCTGAGAGCCCGCACCGATCTCCAAGGTCTCATCCACCGAGCCTCACTGCACATGTTTCGCCAAGCAACACAGCCCCACCCAGCCAGCCCCTAAGCCACACAGCCAGAAGCCACACAGCCAGACACCTACACCATCAGGATCTGGCAAAACCACTTCCTTGCGACCTCAGCTCCGGCGGCGCTCGTTAAAACGGTGTCTAGAGTGCCCACATTTCCGGTGGCTGGTCGTCTGGAGTGCTAGGAGTGCTAGGGGCCCGGACTGTGAAGGCTGAGACAAGTTGTCCGCCCCACTCTGCTCCAGCCCTTTCAGCTGCCACCTGACGTCAGCGGTGGAAGCTGTGTTTGGGGCTCTGGTTTTTTTGGCAAGGCTTGCTGGGCTTGGCCTGGCCAGCCACTCGATTGGCGCCATGTCTTCAATCTCATCCAAACGTTGCCTGGCAAGAAAACTCATGCTAGCTGCTAGACTCTAGCAGACACTCTCATAAGGAAACAACGGTGGACCCACTTATCTGGAGGAAGGCGTTTGAAGGCGCTGATCAAATCTTATCTAATCTTTTAGGCACAAAAATTGCCTGAAGGCATTTCACAGGGGCCCAAAAATAGAAAGCAAACTTGATCGTCACTCATGGTCTACCAAAGTCAAGCTCGGCGCACTGATCTTGCTCCATCTTCTCGCCCTTGGCGCGACGTGCACACCTGGCAATAAAAAATGAGATCGA